ATCCAGCTACCCTCCCAATTAAAACCCCCGAGAATGTTTTTGCCTGGTGTCTAAAAAGAGACAGCAATGGCACCAAGTCTGCTTCCCTTGGGAAGGAAGTCCACTGACGGGGAATCGCAATGGGGAAAGATTTGCCATTATTCAATATGGAGGCACAGTTGCTGAAATTGTTGAAGGCAAAGTTGATGCACTTTGAGGAAAAACTATTGCTGAACATTGCTGTGTCCACTTCTGGGCACCACAATTTAAGGAGGAGATCAGTAAGCTGGAACAATTGAAGTGTAGGGCAACCAAGATGAGCCAAGCCTTATGAGGAACGGTTGAAGGAGCTGGGTGTGTTTAGCCTGGAAAAGAGGAGACTGAGGGGAGATACTATAGCCATCTTCAAATTGTTGCGTATTGAGCGGATTAATTGCGCTGCAGAAAGCGTGCCGGGGAGACCACACATTCAGGAAACAATGAAGAAATGCAAAAGTATATTTTGCTTGGCTTTAATTACAAAAACAAAAAACGCCTCTTACATTAAATCTATAAGTATGACCCATCCATTCACCAGGGTACTGAGTGAGGTACACGCTGCTCTTTATATACTATACCCAATTGCTGACACAGCTTAAATTAACACAACTTAACAGCACCTGCTATACTGCTTCACAGCTGTAAAACTAGGTCATATTTACTCTGGCCTTTAAAGAGATACACATCCTGTGAAACAATAATGAAGCTTAATATTTGAATAATCCATTCAACACAAATATCTCAAGGGTTGTCTCATGGAAGGTGGAGCAAGCTTGTTTTCTGCTACTCCAGCTAAGCATTAGGAAGAACCTGTTGACAGTAAGGAGGTGATGAGCTCTTCTTCATTTAGGTTTATAAGCAGGGGTTGGACGATCATCTCTCAGGGATTCCTTAGTTGTGATTCCTGCATTGCAGGGGGTTAGACTAGATGTGAAATATACTCAGAGTTGAGAGTGGATTTCATTCTCTTTATTCAGCTCATAGTGGTGAGGAGGAATGGAAGTTCCCCCAGAATGTCTGCTTTATATACATTATTTACACAATGGGCCCCACGTGATTGGCTAATTCCGGGATTCTCCTGTAAGCCAATCAGGTCGCGGATTCACTTCCACCTGGAGCTGGATTGGGTGGCTCCTATGGACCAATCAGACTGCTGCATTCTGGAGCCTATTGTTCTAGGACCAATCGGGCTGCTGCATTCTGAATCCTATTGTTCTAGGACCAATCAGACTGCTGCATTTTGGATCCTATTCAACTCAGTACATAACAAGATGACTCTTTCAACTCTACAGTTTTATGATTCTATGAAATGTTGCCCATGTTCTCCCCATTTTCTTTTAAAGAATTCGAGTTAATCCAAGGTGAGCTTCAGAGAGCTTGCCTGTCTCTGGGCATGTTTGCAATTCATTAGTTCCATATTGGCTCAGATTCTAAAGTGAGCACAAGGCACAAGCCATTCATGACAGCTATTTGTGAATGATGGCAAATTGGCTACCCCTGCTCTAATTTAATCTCAAATATATTCCTAACTGCCCACCCCCCAATCATAACAGAATTATGGTTTCCTTTTGCTAAAAAAAAAAAAAAAGGAAAGGAAAGGAAAGCAAGATGACTTTACATGGTTGCAAAACAAAGTTTCCAGACTGCTGCTTTGGAGTGGGAACATAACTTCAGCATCTCATCATCGCTTTCTCTGGTTCATTTGACTTCTTTCTGAACAGCTGAAACCAAAACTATTCACAAGAGCAGCTAAAATGCAGAAGGCAAATACCTTAAGAGGTGAAATCATGCAGTGTTAAAGAGACAATGAGGTTTGGAAAGATTCTGCAGAAATGAGAGAAAAGTGCTTTGGTTAAGAGGTTATTATGATTATTCACTGGGAATGCCAGCCACTGATACCCAGGGGAAAATCCACAGGTTGAGGCAATGCCATAATATTCATGCTCACTAAGGGAAGGAGAAAAACTGGCCACATAATGTGTTTTCTGCATTTTAAGAACTGGGTCTTTTAGTGTGGCAGCACCTTCACTTTGGAACTCCCTGCCAATTGATAATCAGGCAGGCAACTTCACTGTACTCTTTTCGGCAGCTGCTAAACACATTCTTACCTACCCAGATGTTCAGAAAGTTGACATGAGTTTTAGGATGTTTTTTAGTCTAGTGTTATTTCAACCTTTTGAAAGTTTTAAATCATTGCCATTAATTTTTCTTTCCAATGATTTTATTGGTTTATCTTTTTTTGCAACCGCTTTGAGGTTGTTGGGTTTTTGTTTTTTACGGTAAAAACAAACTTTTTCTTCTCTTACAATTATTTCAAATTGCTTCCTCGCTTCCTCCCAAAGGAGCCCTGGGCAGCAAACACACAAGCAATAAAACATCTTAGGAAATGATTCCAGTACAGATGTGGACTGGATACCAATACAGGAAATGATATCCTTGTTTTTTTTTAATTGATGAAACCTAATAAAGCCTCCATGTTCAGTCAGTGTACCCCTGAAAACTCAATCCAGCAATGAGCAGCAAGGAATCAACCTCAGCTTCTTCTTCCTCTTACTGTATCTCTTCCCTGAGCTCTTGATGTGACCCGGCAAATCAGTTCTTTTGACATCATTGCTGCCGTTACGTCTCTGAACAAACTTGTGCTGTGGACAAACAAAACCGTCTCATTGTCAGTGCCCCCCCCCCTTCTATATCCCTGTTCCTATAAAAGCACTATTTGTGGCTGACATAACTGTAATACGCATGGAGTGAAGCAAGCCCATTATTGTTCAAGCAGAATGAGTGAGCTCCGATCCAGCTTAATCCCTGACTAAACATTCAGAGTTGGGAAAATATGCTTTAATCTGGTTTCAGATCTCTTCAGCTGCTGGTAAATAATTTGCTTTCCAGATGCAATGTTGTTATTGGTGCTTTTGGGGTGGGGCTAAGGACAGAAAGTCCCCAAACTGCCGTGTGTGTGTATATATGTTAGGGCTGCCATATATCTGGTTCTCCTGGACAGATTCGGAATTCAGCCCACGGAAATTGCATGGGGGGGGGAATTCTGTTAATCAGTAAAATTCCTGGGAAAACCAGGACATATGGCAACCCAGTGCAGCCTCCCCAACAGCTCCAGTTACAGTTGTTGTTCTTTAGTTGTTTAGTCGTATCCGACCCTTCGTGACCCCATGGACCAGGGCACGCCAGGCACTCCTGTCTTCCACTGCCTCCCGCAGTTTGGTCAAACTCATGCTGGTAGCTTCAAGAACACTGTCCAGCCATCTCGCGCTCTGTCATCCCCTTCTCCTTGTGCCCTCCATCTTTCCCAGCATCAGGGTCTTTTCCAGGGAGTCTTCTCTTCTCATGAGGTGGCCAAAGTCTTGGAGCCTCAGCTTCAGGACCTGTCCTTCCAGTGAGCGCTCAGGGCTGATTTCCTTCAGAATGGATCAGTTTGATCTTCTTGCAGTCCAGGGGACTCTCAAGAGTCTCCTCCAGCACCATAATTCAAAAGCATCCATTCTTCGGCAATCAGCTCTGCAGCAGCAAAAGGAAGGCAGAACAAGAAGCAAATTCTTCTTGGGGGGGGGGGTTAGTAGGGGAGACACTGGGCTAGAGCCCGGCTGGGCAGGCACCCCTCACTTCCATCGGGGCAGGTGGAACAACTCCTCAAGGGGACCTTGCCTCCAAACTGGCCCTTCCCTTGCTGGGCACTGGAGGTGGATGGGGCCACAAGCAGGGGGCTCCTGGTTGGGAATCGGGGTCCCCGCGGCTCCTGGAAGGGTTGCCTCAAGTGAGGGTCTCCGAGAGGGGCCGGCGCCAGGATGCTTCGCTGTGGAGAAACCAGGAGACCCTGCATGCACACATCCCACCCTTCAGGGAAAAGAGAGTCCAGCCACAGCACCACACTCCACTTCAGCCAGCTGCCTCGCTGGTCCAGAGTGAACCAGAGAAAGCTATGATGAGATGCTGAAGTTATGTTCCCACTCCAAAGCTGGAAACTTCAGGACAGACCAAGTCCTTCACACAGCACACAGTTGAACTATGGAACTCCCCACCCCCACCCCCCAGAAGGCAGTGGTGGCCAGAAACTTGGATGACTTTAAAAGAGGATGAGACAAATTGATGGAGGAAAAGGCTGTCTGTGGCTTCTAGCCAGGATTGCTCTGCTCTTTCTCCACAGTTTGAGACAGCGATGCTTCTTAATACCCAGGGCTGGCTTTAGGTTTGATGAGGCCCTAAGCTGTCCTTTGTCAACAACAAACTGTCACGGTTTTTCGTGTCGAATATATGCTGTATGGACCTAATAGGTATCTCAAGCCATTTGCCTATGTTGCCATGCAACTAGTCCATGCAGAATGTAGGCACCCTATATATAGAAATGAGCAAACCAGTGATATTTTAGGGAGCTGGCTAGCAGGTGGGGCCCATTATAGGAGCCTACACAACACAAAACGCTGTTGCTGTATGTAGGTTTTATTTTATTTGTTTTTTATCTTATATTTTGGAAATGTACATCCAGGTTTTTTTCCTTTAATTTTTTTTTTGGGGGGGGGGGCAAGAGAGTGGGGCCCTATAACTTGTTTAGCTTATACATAAATCCAGCACTGTTAATACCTGTTGCTGGAGAGCACAAGAAGTGGAGGGTGTGAACACCCACATGTGTGTCCACACCGAAATACAAAACCTGCAACATCAAGCTTTTAATGTTTTAATATTTGATGGATTACTGTATTTTAATAGCCTGTTGGAAGCCTCCCAGAGTGGCTGGGGGAAACCCATCCAGATGGGCGGGGTATAAATAAAATGTTGTTGTTGTTGTTGTTTCTTCCTTCCTTTTCTCCTACATCCTTTGCCAAATCTATGACTTGAGTTCTGTCTCCCGCCATCTCCTTGTCTTCTGCAGCTGCCGCTTCTAACCATGGAACTGTTTTCTCACTTTCTCCATCCGATAAGACCACTGCTGTTGTTTTTCATCCAGTCTCTTCCCTTATTTTTCTTTCAAGCTCAAGCCTGGAGTTACTGCCTGATGTCCAGTATGCCTTTGGGCTGCCTTTTCATCCCCAGTATGAAAACCAGTATACTCCGGAAGCGAAGACCCTCTCCTTAACGGTCATGCAGTTCCTAGCCAACTTCATAAGATCTGGGTGTGTATTGAGTTACTTGGAAGTGGCTGCGCGGTCAGTTTTTCCATCCCTAACAAAGCTTCTGAACCTCATTTCTTCTTTTAATTAGCTTTTGTTAAAGATGTCCTTGTGTAACGAAGAAAGAAAAGTACATACAGTCATACCTCGGGTTAAATATGCTTCGAGTTGAATGCGTTCGAGTTGCGCTCCTCGGCAACCTGGAAGTAACCGAGCACGTTACTTCCGGGTTTCGCCGCTTGCGCATGCGCAGATGCTAAAAGTGACGTTTCGGGCATGCGCAGAAGCGGCGAAAAGTGACGCGCACGTGCGCAGACATGCCGTCGCTAGTTATGTTTACCTCTAGATGCAAACAGGGCTCCGGAACAGATCCCGTTCATATCTAGAGGTACCACTGTATAGTCTCTGCACTATATGTCTTTTTCATCGTTTGTTTACATCCAGGATGAGACACTGTTGTCATTTGCATTATGTGGTTGGGGGCACTGGCGGAGGAACGGGAGTGCAGAGGGAGCGGACCACCCCCAGCACCACTATTCCGGTAGGGTGCCATCGTGGCGCCCCCCCCTAGACACGCACTGTGCACCACACACCCATGCGCCGCGCACCACACCCCCAAAACGCGCGCCACGCCCCCAGGGGGGAGCCAGCCACATCCCCGTCTGCTCTCCGCCCCCGGTAGTGGAGCATGCAGCTTCGCCACTGGTTGGGGGGGAAAGAGGGGGGTATTGATCTTTCATTCTATTGCATAGTGTTTGTGCAGGGTTTTTTGTGTCACCGTCAGACAGCGTATCTGTGACATCCAATAAGCTGCTCTTTAAACACAGGGAAGTCACCACAGAAGCCTCCAATCAGCAATTTGGCAAGAAGCATTTTTAAGACACCCACTGATATACAGCAAGATCAGTAGATCATGGTTATTAAAAGAGCAAAAACTTTACAGTCAGTCAAGACCTGCTTCTCAGTTCAAAAGCTGATTTCCCAATCCTAGCTTTTGTTCTGTCAGTTTTGCTTTCCTGGAAGTTTTCTTGTGTGGTATTGTTGTCAGTAAACAGCAAGCTGGGTACATCGAAACGCTCCGCTGTGCAAGCCGTCTCGCAATTCCTCTTGAAGCTTTGCAAGACAGCACAGCTCATTTGCAAAAGGGCGGCTTTTCTTAAACCTGAGCTGCTGGTGAACCCCGACAATTTCCAGTGAGTACTAGGGAAGAGGAACTGTTGAAAGATGAGACAGATTACACAGAGTCCTCAAAATAAAGCACAACTTCCCTGCACCCTTGAAACTGTTGCCAAGAACTAGCCAAAGAAGAGATGATTCTCCCAAGAACAATGTTATTCGGATGAGGGTTTCTGTTTTTGGTTTGCTCTTGTTGGAATGAACCATCTCAGCTGTGGTTGATCTTGTGCCAGCCACTTTCAACCACTTCTCCCCACCTGAGAAAACTATGATAATGACGACTCACCTGAAGGCGTTGTTGCCGGGAGAGAATTCGTGTAAGGCACAACTTTAGCAGAACAACATAATTCCTTTGCTGGGTCAGAACAAAGTCCATCTAATCTACAGTGCAACATTTTGTTGCAGACCCCCTCTTGTGTGGGCTACCTACTTTTAAAATGAGGCTGCATTTTAAATTACATATTAACCTGTATTTTAAATTGGGTTTTTCCCCCCTATTATGTTTTTACTGTAATTTTACTGGTGTTAGCCACCCTGAGCCTGGCTTTGGCCGGGGAGGGTGGGGTATAAATAATTTATTATTATTATTAGTAGTAGTAGTAGTAGTAGTAAATAATGGTCATGAGATTATAGATACATGCCTATACTCTCGTGTGTATACATGCCTATACTCTCGTGTGCTGTTGCACAAACTCTTCATGATGCCGGCTGGTTGAATAACAGCTGTTCCTCTTCCTTTCTTCAGAAACCCAAATGGCCCTTATAAGTTCTCCAGAAAAATGACTGGGGTTGCATCCTCTTGGCCTATGTTTCGAGCAGATGCTGATGGTGACAACTATAAGGAATTTACCGCTTCCTTTGAGAACCACAAAGGGCTGAAGAAGGCCGAATGTTCATTCTGGTCCGATTACATCAAAACCCTCAAAAGTACCTTGAGCTGTAAGTGCATAGTGGAACACACACCTTTTTCTCTCTTTGGGCAGTGATGTTCAGAAAGCTTGCATCAACTCTACTTTTAGCAGTGCTGCTTTTCCTAGCAAAAAGGGGTGCCTGAACTCACCATGAATGCCTCCCTTGTTCTCTTATAATGGCAAAGGTGCCCACCTGAGAGGTGGCGGAACTGAGTTTCAGAGACTTTTGGCTGGGGGGGGGGAAAACCCTGACTTTTAGTACAGTGGAACCTTAGTTTTTGAGCATCTCGGAAGCCAAACGTTTTGGTTTTCAGACTCCGAAAACTTGGAAGTTTCTCAATTTTCTCCGTTGAAATTGCTAACCACCCATTAAGCCTCAGTTGTCGAACATTTCGGAAGTCAAACGGTCTTACAGAACAGACTACTTTCGACAACTGAGGTTCCTCTGTATATGAAAGTTCATTTCCAACACATCCCACTAATTCTGGTTCATGTTCATCCTGTTACAAAGCGAACTAGTTCATTTCGCAGCCCAATTCAAGTTCGTTCACATGATCCTTGGAAGAGGGGGGTGGAGTCCAAGCTTTCAGAATATGACAAACCACTGTGCTGAAGTGTAAATTATACTTAAGAAAACTTCAGCTCATACACACACAGTGGAATGTGAATGGTCTGATTTATTTCTCCCCAACAATTGTGATATTTAAGCTTAAAGGCCCAAAGTGTCTAAAGCATTAAAAAGAACAACAACACATGCATGACAATGACCTTGAAGATGAATTGCAAATTGTTCAAAGTTCTACGCTGCTCTTCTTGACATTTCCTGTTGAGGTCTGTGGTAGCAACAGGAGACAGGTCCTTTTCTATGGTTTGCATGGCAAGTTCCCACCTCCCCCCAATGGAAATAACGACACAAGACACCGTTAATTAGGTTAATGGGCAAAAAATGGCCACAACTTTATTGGTTACAGGTAAAAGTGGTATTGGCTTAGGCATTGGTCCTATCGACCTTTTGATTTCAGCCTGATTGCTTGAAGTCCGGGAAGGGTTAACACCAATCGGGGGAGTCCTGCTGATGCACATCAACTAGGAAGTTCCCCGGGGTCACCGCTCGGGGGCATGCCTTAGGCCCTAACCTCCATAGGCTTCAGACAGGGCCACACACCCCGGAATCCTTTACCGGACTACCCTTCGACCTGTGGGGGAGGTGATGGCACTTCCTCTCCCCCCTCATCTACATACCAATATCAATGCCTAACCGCCAATGCCAAGGAAGTTGTGACAATTTGCTACGAGGTAGGTGAAAAACCAAGTGGCTGGTGCCAATTTGCCAAGTGGAAAAAATTCCTACCAGGCCCCACAACGGCGACCAACCGAGGTCCATAGCAAGGTCAGAAGAGAAACCTTGAAGGGCGGCAGAGTGGGAAACCGGTGAAGCAGAGGCGACTAAAAGAGGGAGATTCCCCGGCCACCTCAGTGTAATATAGGGCAAACCACGCCCCACCCCCCCCGACCAGGTGATTGGCTGGCTAGGGGGTGACATAATAATAATAATAATAAAATAATAATAATAATAATAATAATAATAATAATAATAATAATAATAATAATTTATTTATACCCCGCCCATCTGGCTGGGCCTCCCCAGCCACTCTGGGCGGCTTCCAAAAGAATATTAAAATACTGTGATACATCAAACATTAAAAGCATCCCTAAACAGCATTCCCTCAATTGGCGCGGGGGCTGATCTCAGATGGATCTCAGGTGGAGAGGGCGTGAAGCCTGCAACACCACCTCCTCTTGAATTCGGAAGTGGCTTTCTCACCATAGAAGAATACTTTGCAAAAGCACAAAAAGAAAAATACTAAGGGCAGGAGCCAAAATAGCCCAAGGAGGACTGAGCCACATAAAAATGGGCACAGATTACTCAGAAAACCATAGAAGAGGGGAAATGGAGTGAAACGGGATACCTGGAGTCAGGTACATTCTCCACTGCAACATTTTGTGGCAGATCCCACTTATAAATAATGCTCATTTGTTTGTTTTTTAAGTTCAGAAAGTTAACAGCGCTTCAGAAAAAGAACTTACAATCTTTGGAACCCCAAATATTCTTCCAGGCACTGTATTTTTCTGGTCTATTTTGATGCAACACTTCTGAAACCCTAAATCGATGTGCTTTGTCCGTGTGGTATTGTTGCACTGGAATGTTTTGCTTGGCCTTTGCTGCCAGAAAATTTGTGGATAATTGAATTAGCATTAAATAAATGATTTATAAGTTCTACCGTGGAATCTGCTGGCAGCCTGTTCAATAATTATTAGCTCGCTGCATTGTTCCCAGACAGCTGCCCAGCAGACTAATGTGACACAATAATTAGTGAACCACATTGGATTCAATGAGAAATAATGATTTGCACGAGTTTTTCACAGAGTGATGCATCTTGTTTGTGTTGTGGTTTCAGGCAGACGAGAGCCGCTCAGCACAAGCAAGCCTAGCAGTGAATTTCTTTCCAAAACCACCCAGAAGAAGCCACTTGGAGACAAGGTGGCCTACAAGAAATAGAACCAAACACTTCTATTGATTTTGGATCGGCTGGATGAAATCAAATCACTACAGATCTGCGAGGGGTTGGAAATCATCTCGCTAAATCACAAAAGCGTGTCTGCAATAGATTACTGAAATTTCAAGTATGGTTGCCGTCGACACAAGATGGGCAGGCCCCAAAAGCATACAGACACTGCTCCATCCAATGAATCACATGTGCTGGGTATCGGTACATCAAATTGAAATTGTAGCACTCAATAAAGCTTCAAAAACCTTTTAAAGAGAGTTGGCTTCTTACCGTTCTCAAAGTGGCATACACACAAACTCAACATGTGACATGAGGTGTCAGGTGATCTGGTTAATCCTAGAAGCATAGAATCATGGAGCTGGGACGACAAGGATCTTCCAGTCCAGCCCTCTGTAATGCACTATAGGATGCAGGTGGCACTGTGGTCTAAACCACTGAGCCTCTTGGGCTTGCCATCAGAAGGTTGACGGTTCAAATCCCCATGCTAGGGTGAACTCCCATTGCTCTGCCTCAGCTTCTGCCAACCTAGCAGTTCGAAAGCATGCCAGTGCAAGTAGATAAATAGGTACCACTGTGGCGGGAAGGTAAACAGCGTTTCTGTGCGCTCTGGCTTCCGTCACGGTGTCCTGTTGAGCCAGAAGCAGTTTAGTCCTGCTGGCCACATGACCCGGAAAGCTGTCTGTGGACAAATGCCGGCTCCCTCGGCCTGAAAGCGAGATGAGCACTGCAACCCCATAGTCACCTCTGACTGGACTTAACCGTCCAGGGGTCCTTTACCTTTTACCTCTTCTGCAATGCAGGAATCTTTTGCCGAACATGAGGTTCAAACTCATGAACACGAGATTAAGAATCCTATCCCCTACCAATTGAGCTATCCCAGCTGACTTGGAATTGGCTGTATGTTTACAGTCTTCCTTAGGAACTGTTTGGGAGGGGGGAAAGCCCATTAGTTTATCTGAGAGGTTTTCCCCAGCTCCTAAAGTTGATGCGTGCACACTGAGGATACCACACATGAGTGTTGTTATATTGCTTCCTTTGAATGGTAGTTTGGTTTCACTCACCTGTGCCCAATCCAGAGCAGTGGGGATGAGAGAGAGAGAGAGAGAGAGAGAGAGAAAGAAAGAAAGAAAGAAAGAAAGAAAGAAAGAAAGAAAGAAAGAAAGAAAGAAAGAAAGAAAGTAAGTTCAACTGCCCAACTACCCGACCAGGTGTACACTAAGGAACCAAGAGAGGGTTTAGATCCTAATGGAGAACAAGAACATAAGTGGAAAAAGTAAAGTCACACCCACTGTCAGCATCCGGGGGTCAAAAGGCCAGTTGGCTAGGCCCCAGCTGGATCATTTCCCTCTCAGCCTTCACGCTGCGGAGATTCATCGACCTCTGGCTCCGATGTAAATCAGTGACTCAAGCTTGCTGCGTTGAGCACACTATATATAGCAAACTGCACAACAGAAGAGGCTGGAGGCTGTGTGGATGCATACTAAAACTACGGATTTATTATACATAAATCAGGACAAAGAAACATGTCGTCTCTCCTTGCCGTCTTCTCGGAGAGACAATCAAAACAAGATCAATACACGGAGCGGAGGTTCCGCTCACGGGACCCAGCAATCTGTGCTGGAATGGAAGCAGACATGTGATGCGCAACAATCTGCAACAAAAGGTGGAAAGGAATCTCCCAACACCCACATCATACATTTAAAATGCATGGCTTCTCCCAAGGAATCCAAGGAACTGTAGTTTGTGAAGGGTGCTGAGAAGTGTAGCTCTTTGAGAGAGATACTACAGTTTCCAGGATTATTTGGAGGAAGTAAAATGCTTTAAATGTATGGAGTTGTATCCAATATAGTGCTAAGCCAGCCTGCTGTCAGTGCAAGGATGTCCACTGCGGCAATGGGACTCCCATCCCTACATCCTCCCCAGGACATCCCTACATCTGTTCTGGGGGCTCCCCAACCCTTCAGAGGAAATTTGGGGACAGTGCAGGGCATACGTGGGATGATGCCTACTGGGGAAAATTTGGTTGCACAAGCGGAAATTATTGTGCTGACAGGACACTTAAGTAGGATCATACAATCACAGAATTGTAGTGTTGAAAAGGACATCTGGTCCAACCCCCTGCAATGCAAGAATCTCATCCCTGACAGATGGCCATCCAACCTCAGCTTAAAAACCTCCAAGGAAGGAGAGTCCACAACTTCCTGAAGGAGACCATTCGGCTGTTACTGCCAGGAAGTTCTTCCTGATGTTTAGTTGTAATCTCCTTTCTTGTCACTTGAAGCCATTGGTTCCAAGTCCTGCCCTTCAGACCAGGAGAAAACAAGCTTATTGCCTCTTCCATGTGACAGCCCTTGAGATATCTGAAGATGGTTTTCCTATCTCCTCTTTTCCAGGCTAAACATACCCAGCTCCTTCAACCATTGAAGGATCAGGCTTGGTTTCCAGACTCTTGATCATCTTGGTCACCCTCCTCTCCATCTTTGGTGCGGATGTGACCCAAGATAACTGAATGACCAAACCTGGAAGGGCGCAAACATCTGCTTGGCTTTGTGACTTGGTCAAGTAGTCCACAGCAATTCCAGAGAGAGGAGGAAGTTAATATGCAAGAACTTTTACACTTGCACCTACAAAGCACATGAGCTTTCAGGTCACTTAAGGCAGTGATCACCAGTTTTTTAAAGGTTATGGTCGCATTTGGATTACTGAGGGACAGATTTAGGGCTATGTGTGAGCACACACTGGGGACTGAACCGAGGGGGTGCCACCTCAAAGCCCAGTAAGTGAGCATCAGAGGCATGAAGCTCTGAAATGGTTCCCCCTAGAGTTTTTTCGCCTCTTTCCCGAAACATAGTTAGCACTAGGACCCTGCCAGAGCCCTTGCACCTCCTTGCCAAAGCCGGGGCCTCCTTATCCACCTATAGCAGGGACGTCCAACTCCCAAGAGACTGAGATCTACTCACAGGGGGAAAAACTGGCAGTGATCTACCCCTTTTGGGGGGGGGGGTTCAGGCCAAAGTTGATGAGCTTTTTTTATAATAATAATATTTTTTATTTATACCCTGCCCTTCCCGGTTCAGAAAACCGGGCTCATGGTGGCTAACAACAAATTTAAAACGCTTAATTGATGCTACAAAAAACAGGATAAAATACGGTACAAAACGTGAATAACAATAAAATCAAAAATCAATTTAGGGGGGAAATCCATCCAATAAACATTAGACGATCACCAGGGCTAGCTGGCTAAATTAGTCCTATTTGGGCCAGTGAGGAGACCAGGGGAGAATTAGCTGTGGGATCCCAGAGGGGGTAATCTTCATAAAAAGGGGAGGGGGAGGGAAGGAAGGGGAATAAAAGATCAGGCTAAATTCAAATTGAAAGGCAGGCGGAATAGTTTTAGGGAGGAATGCCGCACTCTGTCTTCCATTCCAGGAATCATGCGAAAATGGAGGGCGGGGAGAGGACGGGGCCGGCTGCTTTTAGGCAAAAGCGAAGGAAAAGGAGCACATGATCAGCAGTGATCAACCGGAGCCTCCCGGGGATCGACCTGTTGGACATCACTGATCCATAGGATGGCACTGCAAAAGCTGGGGGGGTGACACCAAGTCTACCCAAGTCTGCCACTGAAGTGCCAAGGGCAGCGTCCCCTCAGATCAGTTCTGTCTCTTCTGAATCAACCCCACTCCACCCCCTGAGACAAAGAGACGGTGTATACAGACAAACTTCCCTTTTCTGAAGAATCAGAGTAAAAGGTCCAGTAGAATTAACCCACTTCTTGAGAAACAGAGAGAAAGAGGGAGTGTCAGAAAGAAGGAGAAAGAATAATAGAATTGCAGAATCTTAGAGTTTGAAGGGATGCCGAGGGTCATCTAGTCTGACCCCCCTGCAATGCAAGAAGGGGGGCCCTACCCATTTGGGTTCCGGCTGCTCCACACACTGGCTTCAGTCCTGCCCACCACCAGCATGTAATTGAAAATATTCAATTAATAGGTAAGAGGTTTAAAAAAGAGGAGAATTCAAGGAGCACATTGAATTTTTTCTACTACAGTGGAACCTCGGGTTACAGACGCTTCAGGCTACAGACACCGCTAACCCAGTAATAGTACCTTGGGTTAATAACTTTGCTTCAGGATGAGAACAGAAATCATGCAGCAGTGGTGCGGCGGCAGCGGGAGGCCCCATTAGCTAAAGTGGTACCTCAGTTAAGAACAGTTTCAGGTTAAGAACGGACCTCCGGAACAAATTAAGTTCTTAACCCAAGGTACCACTGTAATCTGCACATCTTCATATGCAACCTTCCCAAATAAACACCTTTGCAAAGCAATTTTCTCTAATATGATGCATTGCTGTAGGTTAGTTTCACTAATACATTTATTTTTATGCACACATTATATAGCTGGGGAATGGAACTCTTTTGGAAATTGGGTAGGTCCACCTTTAAAAATGCAAGCTCCATCAAATTTAATTTCCACCTCCGCATGCGAAAAGGGAAAGCCGGTCTTGTGTCTCTGAATGCTCCTTCCAAATGAGCAGAGCTATGACTCTCTAGGGACGCGGGTGGCGCTGTGGGTTAAATCACAGAGCCTAGGACTTGCCGATCAGAAGGTCACGACTGGACCTAATGGTCAAGGGTCCCTTTACTTTTACAAAGTAGAAAAAGAGAGAGATATTGGTTATGAGTCTTAAATGTAACAGGGAAAGTAAGAAATGCATACTAAGAGACTAGATTGGAAAATTTTCGGACAGGACTGATGGAAGTCAAAAAACTGAATAAGATGTAAATGTTTAATTACTGTTGAAAATGGTATGTTAAAAAACTAATAAAATTTTTATATATAAATTGTATATATATATATATATATATTATATAATTTATAATTATATATAAATTATATATAAAATTTATACATTATAAATAAATTATAATTTATTTATTTATATAATTTATAAATTATATATATAATTTATTTTATATATATATATATATATATATATATATATATATATATATATATATAAAATATACCACCACCCTATTGGTTTTTTAAAAGGATTAGGCAAATTCATGGAGGGGAAGCTATCAACAGAGTATGTGTCTCAGTGGCTGGGATTTGCAAGCAGGCAGAGGGCTGTTGCATTCATATTCTGCTTGCAGGCTTTCCATAGGCATCTGGTGGGCCACTGTGAAAACAGAATGTTGGGTCGGATGGGTCTTTGGGCTGATCCAGCAAAGCTCTCCTCACATACTTGTGGTAT